ATATTTGCCTGTGTTTCAGCTCTGATCAGACAAACAAAACACACAGAGCTATCTAGAGGCATCCGTTCAGTACACAACTCCCTAATTGGGAAAAAAAATTAAAACTGGCCTTTTTATTTTGATCATTACTTCTACTGCAATAGAGTTGGGAGCCAGAGGAAATGCCACATTGTCACCTGAATTTAAAGTGGTTTATCCTCTTTATAGGAGCCTGCTTTAGTACATCTCAGATTCAGTTTTTCAGGCTCAACTGTGTAGTTCAGACTTGACTCAACTTTCATCATTCTGTCAGCATCAACTGTGAAGGCTGGGCTCAATTTAAACGTAATGCAAACATAACCATTTTCATGAAATAAGCTGTAAGTCCTCAAACACTCTATACAGTATGGATCAAGGTCAAAGTGGCAAATCTTGATTGTAGATATTCACCTACACTCAAGTATATACTATAATATAGAAAACGTTTCCTGTAGACTATTTTAAAAATCCTTCGTAGGAGAATCCTTAACAGCTTAATGTTATTTGGTTGTATTTGCCACTTTTCCATGCTTTATATTGCTGCATGTCTTCAGCAGAGGCTGTACTGGTTGAGGATGTTGTAGCTGTTCTCCACCAGCTGAGGGCAGCACAAAACAATCTGAAATGGGACGCTGAAATGAGAATGGAATGAGGAAAAGCAGAGTAAAACAGGTGTTGTATCTGAGCGTTTGTGAACATGTATGTATGCAGAAGGTAATGGGATTTTTCCTATTACAGTGAACTCAATTTAACATGTTCAGAGCAGAAATACTCTTCTGCACTTTAAAATACGTTGTCACGGATGTACTATAATATGCAGACAATGGGCCCTAATGAGAATAATTTGTACCTGACAGTTTATTGTAGTGGAACAGAGTGTTTTTGGTAGCTGAATGGTTGGATGCTGCACGACCGCATGGTTCCAGCTCCTGCCAGTTCCACTCCAGCTAACAACCCCTGTTGCACGTCATACCCCTCTTTTTCCACAGTTCCTGTCTGCCTGTCCACCTGTCACAATAAAATAAAAAATACAATTGTAAAAAAAAAAGAGAACCCTTTTTATGATAATAAACAAGACTTAATCCAGGGGATACATTCACAAAACAGGTCAAAAATATTGTGGATGACTTACTTTTTAATGGATTTATCTCTTCAACAGCTGAATTTTGTCAGCAAATGACTTTCTGTGTATTTTCCAGAAGGCAAGTGATTAAACTGTCCTTCCTGAAGAGGAAGATAAAAACGCTAAAGAAAACTACGCTCATTTATAATGCATTTACTAATTTCTAACCACTACAACCAACTTATTACAACCTTCTATAATGTATGTATGTCTTATTAAGAAGTGGTACTGTGTTTTTTGTCTCCAAATTTCAGCTGGAGCACACCAACCACGACACCAAGGTTCAGCCTTTATGAACACAAGGGAGGCAAGATATTAAAGTTTCTGGCACAAGCCGAAAACCAATCATTTTGATGGTCATTTCAACTGATATTTTTCATTTCATTGCAGTAGCACGGTGCACTGTGTCGTGTTTCCACCAGTGGAGTTGACCTACTAAAACACTGATGCTTGGTGTTTCCAGGTGTCTGCAGTCACCCAAAGAGATGAGCACAAATTACTTTATGTCAGAAATAGTGTCTGTTCTATGGCATAACATTGCCAAATGTTTCCTATATTTTTTGCACAGCTTGTGTCTCCTTGAAGCCCCCCCCCCAAAGGATGTTGACAGTCACGCTGCTGCTTCAAGCGAAAACAAGGTTTTGTAAACACTAATAGAGGAGAAATCTGCTCCCTTCATTCATCACAAAAGGTTTTAGAAATGCGTAGAATTTTAAGTTTAAGATTAAGTTAGAACTAATAATGAAAAACAATCAAAACTATAGGGTTTGATTATATAATTTGATAATATGATATATTATATTACCACTATACATTGGGCATAATTTAAATATTGCTTCCTATACTGATGACATATTTGTAAGCGATACAGACCATATATTTGCACTTCACTTCACTGAAGGCTAAGCTCTTCAAAGAAATATGAGAGCTGACCAAAAAAAGTGACAGTTCCCAGTTGTATCTTTATATTCTAAACCAGTCGTGCAATCAAGAAACCCCTTGCGTGACACTTAGCTATGAGATTACTTACTAGAAACTTCTGGAAAGGGAGGTCATTATCTCATGTTTGTGATGTTAAAGAATGATGGGGAATGAAAACAAGTGCTGATCTCCTGTCATACTGTGTCGACGTGTGTTTAAACCTAAAAGATGAATTTAAGGTTTTACCAGTTAAGAAGCGCATTAAACCTGAGCAGCGAGCTTCCAAACAGCACACAGTTGCTTTCATTTTATGCACAACAAAGTAATCACTGAGCTCCTGATAAGAGCCATCCAACATGCATGTCACGGTTGGTGGAGTGATAACGCTGTATGCTTAGAGCACACTTTCTGCTTCTCACCTCTACTATGGATCTGAAAATCAGGTATATCTGAGTTCAGTAGCTGGAACCTTTCTTTACCCACCAGATCTCTTTTCACAGCACAACCTAGTATTTTCAACACGTGCCTTTTCAATTTATACCTCCTTGTCAAGATAATGAAACTGTGTGAACTGTGAGATCATTTTCAGTGGACTTGAGTTGCACTTCTACGTATATGTGCAGGTGTAATAAACTCACTGAAGGAGGATTCAGCAGCTTGACTGTGCTTTCATGGTACATTTCATGTTATTTAGTGAATCACCTCCAGGAATGTCGTATATATATCATAATATAATGGGTACATGTTATATGTTATATGTACATATATATATACCCATGACTGGATGTAGCTTGTTGTGACCCCCTGTAACATACATCCAAATGATAATATGGAGTTACATTATGATATCATATGCAATAACACAGGATTTATCTGTACTGAGCTGCGACCTATTCTTGGTATCCAGCGATGTGCTTAAAAATGTCCTGGTTAGATAACATCTGCATGTACTTTGAAACTCTCTAATCTGAAGATAGAACAACAATAAAGATAGTAGGCTTATTAAAAGTACTGATAATAGCTGGCTCGCTGCCATAGATAAGTGGATTTTAATGCAACAAACACACTTAGAGGCAAGTGCTTCAAAGATTGAGGGATACTGATCAGGTACTGTTCGTTCAAGTGTCACGGTATATGAATTATTTTTCTTTTATAAAATAGCAATGACTCCATTGGGCTTGGTCCTTCATAAATGAGTTAAGCCATAACTCACACTGGCTTCTCGAGAATTCATTTAAATAACCTTGAACCTTTTCCTTACATACTATAACCTTATATATAAGGATTTCTGAACATTAGAAATTCTTGAATTTTTTAAATAAAAAGACTTTGGAAAGCCCCCATGAGCTGTAAAATGTATGCCTGTGTTGAAATCAAACCCTTCAGAGCTGCTTCAGAGGGTCTGTTTTATTCACATTATATTCACATTATATGCAATGCCTCACACATAATCAGAAAAGATGAGAAATAAACAAATGGGTCATTCCCATCTTTACGTTTGTGTTTGTGTTGTATCTCCCTTTCTGTTGTCCCACACATTAATGTCCCTCCCAACTTTGAAACTTTTGAACAGTTTAGTAAAGGCAACAACATCCCAGAGAAAAGTAACTTTAAAAAAAAAGAATTAAAGAAAATATATCACACCTCTATTTACTTTGAACTGTCTGACAAAGGTAAAAAGGTAAAAAAAAAAATCATCTGAAGAGAAAAGATCCACACATGAAGCAGAGTCTCTTCCCTCAGAGGTGTAACAATACTTTGAAGTCGGATTGTGTTGATGATATTCATTCTGAAAACTTGAAGACAGACTGTTCATTCTACTTTTTCCTGTACTGAAGATGAGGAGTATAATAGCTCTGCCAGTGAAAGAATCTCTTCTCCAATCCCCACTGTGATAATAGTTAGATACAGCTTTGCAAGTGTGCATGTTCCTCTTGTGTAACTGCAGGACATATTACGTAATTTCTCTGCTTTATGGTGTGTATGCTTAGAAATAGCACGAAACAGACGCACCTAATTACAGCAATAAAGATAAGAAACACAGCACAGTGAGGTCTGCTATAGAAAAGCAAAAAAAAAAAGTGTTATTGTTCATCTTCAGCAATAAATGGAAACTGCACACTAGTAGACACAAACAAACTATGTTGTTTTCTCAATAAAGTCCACTTTTGGACCAATTTTGAGAAAATCACAATTGAAGTTTGGCAGACTCACTAAAAAGTGTGAAAGGGCAGTTGTTCCCAACTTTTATTGATTAAGTCTCTTTAAAACAAAGCAATGTCTCCTTGCAACCCCTCATCATCGGTTATGGCTAGTTGAACCAAGCGATCTTCTGGACTCTTTTAGAGTAATTCACTAGAAAAACAAGAAAGAATAGAGGAACTGACAGACCAAGGCTCCTGTCTGTATAGCCACAATGCTGACTGTGGAAAAATAGGGAAAAAAGGATTAACTTCAGTGATATGATTAAATGATATTCAATAATCATGAAATATATGTAGCTGGTTTGATCCAAAAGGGAACTGATGACTGGGGAAAGGAGCAGTGAGTTTTCTGTCTGTATCACCCTAAGTAATAGATCAGGCAAAAATTAATTCAAATAAATTTGAGCCTTCTAGCGACAGTGACAGATGAGGCTAAAAGCATGACTCTCCACCTTGTGCCTTTGAAAGGATTAAAGAAAAACAACTCTAAATCAACCCTGCCCAACAAAAAATGAATGTGAAACCACACAGGAAATCAGTCCTGACTTATCCTGATGACATCAAAGGTCACTCTAAACTACCTGTGAGCAACTTTGAGTAATTAATTCATCAGCCAGTCCTTCTTTTGTGCCTATTGGCTGTGAGCTGTCTGACAAACACTGGGTTGGACAGTGATCAGCTGGGATCGGGGATGCAATTGAGTGATATGGCATTTCAACTTTGTCCCTTGCAACAGACTCAGCCATTCCCCCTTAGACAGAGACAGAGCCGCTGAGAGGAACGTATTGATCTGACTGTGTGTTTATATTCCTGCTGGACAGTTTCACTGTAATTTCATCAGCTGCTGCTTTAATGTTGGAATTATGACACTGACGATAGACAAGGTAAGACACTTTTGTAATAGGCACACTGGGCACAGCTGTTGGTTTGTGTGTAAGAGAATGATTCAGACTGAACGTGCTTAAAGAAAAATACCAGTTTTAAAGAAGGTCATAGTGGATGTGTATTGATTTAAGCAGTCTTTGTCAAGGGTAAGTGTTGGATTGAGCAACTTGAGTTTGAAAAAAAAAAACCCAACTGAAGGAGTCATATTCCTGAAAAACAAACAGGCAAACAAGTTTTCCTTTTGCGGAACGAGGACATTAAACCCATCGCTCAGAGTAGTTCTTCGTTTCAGGTGCATGGCGGGATGGACCTCGCTGACCTCCTGCTCACTAACACAGATGAAACCACCAGTTGCCACAGCAACCAACCGTGGACTATCACAATACATGACGTGAGTACGGTGGTCATTCAGGACATTTTGCTCCTAAGCAGAGTCGCTCACGGGACAACATTATCTCAACCAGACCTTTATTGAATCTCATTACTGAGTCCTATCTATATTCTCAACCAGGCTCATATGTTATTGAGCTGCACCTTAGGAGATATAGGAGCTCATTTACAGTTTCACTGTGTTCTCCTATATGTCTGCATCTGTGACTGACAGCGGCAAGGCCATGGCAGGCAAATGAGATCACGGAATTGAGTCGGTGTGTTTATGTTCTTGCCTGTGATCGTGTGCCTGAATGTGATTATCTGATTAGAAGACGAATGATGTATACATACTCTCCTCCCCGACAGACCCTGAGCCCCAAGGGAAGTACTGCTGATGACTTTCTAGACGCCCTGCTGGGTGGGAGCGACTCCTCCTCAACTACAGCGTCCCCCCTGTGGTCACCCTGCACCACTGACAGTGGCATCCAGGAGGACCCCCCAGCAGATCCCACAGAGAGCCTTCATCCACCCTCCTGCATGGCTTTTCCAGGATTGGACACACAGTCTCTCCCTCAGCCTCCACCTCTGGAGAGTCAGCTACCACCAAACCAAAAAACGTCTTATGTTTCCATAGATCTAGGTAAGACTAGATTTACAGTTGAAAGGGAAGTTATGATGTTAAACACTGGCTTTATACTTGCAGCTACAGAGTGATCTGTGAAATAGTAGATTGTTAAAATACTGAGCACAAATTTCATGTTAAGACACATAAAACCTAGACAGGTGAACCACAGCACCGGACAGCCAGGTATAAAACGAGATGTGGTGTGAGATTTATCCTTTTGTACCTTCTGTTGCAGAATGATGAGAGCTATTGACTGAGCATTTTGACAGTTAAGGGCCCTTTCAAGGGGCAAATAATTTGGTTTTCCCATTTCTAAATGTTTGTTAAGGATAAAAGCTTGTGCATTTGTTGTTTATCGTGTGAGGAAATTGTCTTTTGAGAGCAGATTTTGAATAATAGTCCCTTTTCACATTGCTGATTATTGACCCCTCAGTGCTAAAAATACTTTTAAATTGACTGAGTAACCCCATTTCACGGCAACACAAAAATATCAAACACATAGAAAAGTGTGACATATATTTTGTAAAGTGTTTTACAAAGAGCATCGGGGTGCAGCAGTCAATTAAAGACACAGACAGCAACCTAAACATTTTGGGTTTTCTTTGAATGGAACTTAGAGGGAATTTTCTGAATCATCACCTGCTGCTTTACTGGTTCAATCTGCAGGCTGGGAGTCAGATGACCTACAAGAGCAGCTTGGCTTTGCATACTACCTCACTACAAACCAAACCTCCCCTCTGTCGTCCACTCAGACTCTCACAGTGAAGGATCTGCTGCTATCAAACCTGGGACAGACGGTAAGGAGAGAAGAGTTGAATATCTCTGTGAAAGAATGACAGTTTGTGAAGCTTTCTAACTATTGGGGATGTTAAATAAAAATGATTCAGTCTCAGTGTTCTGAACTATACGGCCCTCTGCTTCTCTGAATAATTTACCCAGAGACCTTTTTGTGGTAACGTCTGAGAGCAAGAGATCAACCCTTTGCACCACATAAACAGAATCTTAAGCATTTTATGAACTGGTACAGTGCCGTCTTTGGGTAAACTGCCCAGTGAGTGACTTTAACTGGAAAATTCTGTCCATCTGGTTCACAGGCGCAGCAAATCCCTCAGCATTCCCTGCAGGAGCTTGTACTTAATGAGGATGAGAAAAAGCTTCTGGCTAAAGAAGGGGTGAACTTACCCAACAAACTGCCCCTGACCAAGGTACACACTTACACACTTGCATGTATGTGGGGCAGATGTCTTCTCACACACACACACACACACACACACACACACACACACACACCACAAACACAGCAAACACAGTCTAA